ATGAAACTGACGGACAGGGACCGCCGGCGTGTTTCATGACTTTTGAGTAAAAATCGCTTCTCTTCCAGGCAATAATTACTTTTAGAAATCAAGGCAGGTCCTTCACAACCACTTTCTGAAAGAACACTCCACAGGGAACTCCATACTATGAACATATGGAGCAGAGTGGCAGGCAAGAGGCCTTTGCTCCGTTCCGTTCACAAAGTTGCCAAGTTACAGTGGGTGAAGAGACACAAAAATTGGACTGTTTATGACTGGAAACATGTTATCTGGTCAGATGAATCTCGTTTCTGTCTGTATTTGAATGATGTTGGGCACTGTGTTCATTGTAGACCTGAGGGCTGTGTGTAAGGTGTGGTTCAAGCTGGAGGAGGCTTTGTGATGTTCTGGGGGTGTTTTAATTACGCAGATGGGTCCGTTGGTTGAGGAGACAGTAAATTTGAACCACATTTGCCTACATTGAGCTTCCGGACAACCAGGTTTTGCTGTTTGCTTATCATCTTACCGAGGAACAGAACATCTCTGTATTCCAAGATGACAATTCTCGTGTTTACAGGGCTGCAAATGTGACTGATTGGCATGATGAACATTCAGGAGCATTCACACATCTAGACTGGCCTGCAAAATCCCCTGGATTTGAATTCAATTGAAAATCTCTGACTACCTGGAACAACGAGCAACACACCTGGGAAGGCATCCACAAAATCTGGCCGAACTACTCCTTTCTTTGATGCAAAAATGGCTGAATATTGATGTCGCCTACATCCAGACACTTGTCCAGTCCATGCCAAATCGAATCGCAGTTATTCTTGGTAGTATTACAGCATGCTATTAGGTATGTTTCAGTCACAGGTGACTGACGGCCTTAATTCGAGGGTATATAGGTCCATATCGGGTGCTTAAAAATTACAACCCCACTTTTATCGAATCCTTCCATTCCTGCCTGGCTACATGTTCTTAAGTTGTTAGTTCGTGCACAAGAGAGCCACCAAAAGTTTCAGGTTAATATTGCATATGGCATTTTCATGTGGCATATATTAATGTTAGAAGCACAAGTAGTAAATGTAAAAAGAGACGTAGTCAGATAATTAGGTAAGTCAAAATGGACTGTGAATAAAAAAGCAAGAACACACTAGTGAGCTCTTTAGCAAGCTTAGCAATAGCAAACAACTGGCAGACCACAGTAGCAGAACACAGAAGAACACTTTAAATCATGAACAAAATTCTCTTTGTAACTGCTGTAGAGCACAAGAAGAGGAATAATGTGTCAAAGTGTTAAAATGTCATAAAGTTTACCACAGCATGCAAATCATTGGTAACTCTCAAGAACAGAAGGGCTAGGTACATAAAAAGCCTGGCGCAAAGTCTTCTGGACAGATGAGATGAACATTAACCTGTACCAGAGTGATGGAAAGAAGGAAGTGTGGAGAAAAAAAGAAACTGCTTATAATGATCCAAAACATACTAACCCATCTGTGAAGCATGGTGGCACTGGCCCGCATGACTGCCTGTGGAACTGGAGGACTTGTATGTACTGTTGGTGTGACTGCCAGCAGCAGCAGGATGAATTATGAATTGTATAGAGATATCTTAACTGCCCACATCCAACCAAATGCACTTGATGGTCTTGTAGAAAGACAATCTGAAATATACTGCTAAAGCAGCTGTGAAGCCTTCCTTTTTTCTAAACTAAATAGAATTTTCTGGACTGACCAAGTGAATCAACTGATTTAAACGTCACAGAGCATTGCTCATACTGAAGACCAGACTGAAGGCAAAAAAAACACCTAAAAGAAGCAGGAACTGAATAAGTCTGCAATACAGATCTGGCAGATCACCACCAGGAAAGATGCCAGAAATCCCTGCATGCAAGCTGACATTCTGGACCATGAATCCAGTTTCTGGTCCTGGATTTCACAGTCATTAGTTATGACACTAAATAGCCAGTCAATTACATCAACAGGTTAGCTAACTACCACTGATTTATTAAGTAAAGGACTGGAAAATTGATTCGAGGTCCAGATTTGAGGACCTCTGTTCCACACTATACGTACATAGTCTTTGATTCTCCTCAAATCCAGTGTGCTGGAGTAAGGAGTCAGAACGACTAAAGTTGTCACTTTTCAATTGCACATAACAGCACATCATATGCCTGTTCTATTTTTTATAAGCCAAGTAATAACGATGAAAATGATACATATTCAAACATATTGGCTGAATAAACTGCTGGTCCTAGATTGTCCTTAAAATACCATTAAAATACCTCCCCGCTCTAAATGATTTTCTTTACTATGCTAATTACGCCAACCTGACTAATCAGATAATCCTGTCAAAAGAGTTGGAGGTGCTAAAAACATGACATCACTTTGAATCTCCTCCATGGAAAGCATATAGATTATTAGTTGTGGAAGGTGGAGTGTAGGTGGAATTTATGAATGTCTTAAAGAGCTGACTCTGTTGTACATTGCTGACAGAGTGGGTGTAGCTTGGCGAGTTGATTACTCTTGGCCAGGCTCTTAATTGATTTTGCCCTGTACACTGTGTGCTTCCTTCATCAGCTCTGCTCTGCATGTTTAATTAACAGTTTGCAAAACAATGATTGACATGCCTCTCAGCCAATTGGGATAATCTCTAAATGCTTCTTCTTCCATGAAGCAAAGAAAAAAACATTGACAGAACTCCTCACAACAATTTTGTAGAGATAATGGTGATGGCTGTGAATTAGTCAGAAATATTAGGCTAAGAGAGGTGAAAAGGTATTATTGAGGATTGTGTAATTACGATACAGTTTATCCTGATCATCTGGTGGGTGGCGCTGTTTTTATTTCACTCCTGAAGCTAAGAGTTAAACTATGTGGAAGACCTCACTCATAGCTCTGACAAAACTATTAACAGACAGATTTGTGCTGGCTCTAAGGTCAGCTAAACATCTGAGTTGCTGTATATGCTAAAGCATTTTGATAAAATGAAAAGACAGTTAACGTCTCAGAGCAGTGTTAAGGTCAGTTCGTTAACCAGTTAGTTAACAGCTTGGCTTGATTTAGCTGCTGACAGCTTGATGAATCAGTCAGATTAAACAGGACAGTACAGTGCTTGCATTTGCGATCCAAAATATTCTAAATATTAATGTACCTCCACACATGCTTCAGCTAGCTCTAGTGAAAGCTTTAGCATTTGCTTTTTGATTAGCTCATCTTAAGGTGTAGATCGCGTGGCTTAAACCTTCTCTTCATTAGGCTTGTAAAACTGTTCCCTTAATACCCAGCAGCTAAAAGTGTTCCCTGGCTTGCTTAACATAAAAGTGGCTTCCAGAATCCCTGTTTTCTCTCAAATTGGCTTACTTTCACATTTTGTCTATTCTCAAACATTTACAGTACTGTTTTAGGCACCTGAGAAAATTAGACTCAAAAAGCTGCTTATCTGAGCTGTACACATTATTTGCTTGGAAAGACACCAATATTAGAATAAATGCAAGTAATATTAATACAGTAAGTGGTTTTATGTATGTCAGTGTGTTGGTTTAACCATTTCCAAAACTCCTGGTGGAAGCCCAGTATTATTCCTAGTTATCATCCAGTACCTGGTTTGGTTAATCGATACTTCATTGTGTTAAATCAAGTGTGCTGGTGAGGGAATTACATCCATATAATGGCCGGGAGCATTGAGGAGAAATCTGGAACCAAACTTTGTTCCTCAAACTAGCTCACAAGATATCAAGTACTTTTTTAAAAAATAAGAATTTTTGTTACATTTTAGTGCATTCATGTTTATTTGCATTTATTCTAATGAAATGTGGTATATGGTGTTTTTACAAGAATAAACATACTTATTGCCAAAATAACTGGCTTTAAACAATGTGTTTTTACACAGTACTGTATGTCTGCAATGAACATGTAAAGCTGGTTTATATTTTTTTAATAAAATGTCTTCAGAGGTCCTCCTCTGCATACCTCTAAAGTTATCTTTGTGCCACTAAGCTTTTTAGACTGTTACATATGCCAGGTAGTCTCAGGTGAAAGTTTGACGGATATAGCAACAGCAACTAAATGAGGCAGGACCTGTCAGAATTTAGCAAATGGTCGGTTAGCAAGGTCAGCACACGTTATATCTCTGTCTCTGTACTGCTGTAGCTATTAGGTCAGGTATTGCATGGCACCATGCTGCTCTTTGCTTAAAATTCAGCCAGCAGCGTACATTGCAAGGCTAATACTGCAAACCAAAGTCACAAAGGCTCTTTCTTATCTTGTTAGATGTGTGTAGCTTGAGAGACAGCCAAGGAACACAGTGCACCACACATCTTTTATTCAAATAATCAACACATACATTCAGCCCCTTTCCAAAGTTGCCATGTTAAGGACATTTTAACATCCTAATAAGATTCAGAACCATTTTCATGCTAAATAGCTGTCTACAGAGGTCAATGATAAGCAAACATTGCAGAGGTAATTTACATAAATGTCCTGCTATTTTTGCAAATGTCTCCTTTTGGTGTCACAGATCATAGGCAGCTATCTAATGCAGCAGCACACAGTTCTCCCTGTACATGCTCACATCTGTCTAATTAGTGTTTATAATGCTCTTGTGTGGGTAGTGGGGCAGAGAATATTTAAAAATCACCTGCGAAAGCAGGACTGCAGTACTGAATTGCTTGGGGAAATGCCGCCTCTGTTTGACTCATCACAAATACTTTTTCTCCTTCTCCATGTTGGCAACCATGTACAGGACAGTACAAACATCATGAACATTTTAATACAAGCTGAAACCAAGCCTCAGAGCTTAGTTTTCATGTGTTCATATAAAACCCGTTTCTTTTTTCCTTTATTTATTTATTTATTTTTAATAAAATTTGAAATAAAAAGATGAATCGAGGTTCTCTGCTGGATCCTAGCTCTGACTTCACTACATTCCAAGTAAATGTGTTTAGATTCCCTTCCTTACTCCAGATTTTCAGCCCTACTCTTCGTTGTCTGGCACCATTACATTCCTTTCTTCTCCCACAGGACGTGTGTCTTTCTTTTCCTCGGGATCGGAGAATCTCCACCGTGTCGAGAAGGTTGACTGGGGCACGCGGTACGCCATCACTGTGTCCTTCACATGTGACCCTGATCATGCGATAGCAGACCCCACTCTGCCGTAGGGTCCCTCTTCAGCTAAGGACCCTGGTGCCTGGTTGGAGCCCTGGGACAGAAACGCAAAGTGAGACGACATTTTGAAGAGCACTGTATTTTTTATAATTGCATTTCTCAAGACATGCCATTTCGTTCTCTGTGGAACAAATTTAACAGACATTTGCAACTTGCTGACAGTCTTTCTTGATTTATTTCTTGAATTGGAACCACAATGATGATGCAAATAATAATTATTCTTGTAATTAACTTTGAAATGAAAAGAGTTTTTACACGTTCAGATGTTTGCCTCTTGTGGACCTTCGCTCTCTTTTGATAAGGAACAGCTCTTGTGTCTCCCTTTAGCTTGGACTATGATTTTTTTTTTGTAAATGACTCTTTTCTTGAGCCTGGCTGTGGTTCTTTCCTTTCTGGTCCCATTTTGTCACAGTTGGATCACACGCAACAGTTTGGACCAGACAAACGGCACAAGTAATTCTCAACAGGTGGTAAGAAAAAAATGACTCTCAAAGAGCAGAGCACTCTGATATCCTACTGATGCAGCTTTTCAAAAGCATGTACTGAAGCTTATCCTTGAATACTTTTCCTGAGCTGCACAGTATCTTATTATAAAAGTTAAAAGTGGCTGAGCAGTGTGTAGTTTTCTTTTGTGATGTATAAACTCATGACTTTTGCCTTTAAGTCTGTCACAATTTTATATATATTTATATATATATATATATATATATACACACACACACACACACACACACACACACACACACACACACATATATATCACACAATATTTTGAACAAAGTTTGAAACAAATTTTTTCATTGAAAAGAAAGTATAGCTTTCTTGGCTTAATCCTTGTCCAGGAAACTGACCACTGCTGCAATACAATAGAATTAGATGGTGTAATTAATAGAATGCAGCATATATTACCCATTTACACAATGTGTATTGTCTTATTTTTGTATTATAGTACGTGTCATGATGAATTATTGCATACCATTATAATTCTTATCAGTAAGGAAATTAACTATATTATTATCTCTGTATCCCTACCACTATACTCAATTAGGTTTCACTGTATCTCTTGGCATTGTCTGCACTGTTACATTAAGACTTTGTACATGAAAGTGCAGTAAATGAAGTGCTATCGACACACGTCTTTAAACTTTACAATACTGTATTTTGTTAAAAGTTAATTTATACAGGTTTCTGGCTTTTGCAGTTGCTTTTCTGAATTACTGTTGGTTAGCAAAAAACATGCTGTCGATGTCTGCCAAGCAGCTGAATTTTGTCATCTACACTTGGTCTGGCTATCATACTGTGTGGCCTTGTTGTCAAATGTTTCATCTCTTACACTGGAAATTGTTCTTTTTTTAAGCTGTCTGCTAAACAAATGTATTTCATGCAGTGTCTCACGGCCATATTCCCTATTCCTCATAGAGAGACTACAAGGGCTAAATAAGCTGTTCTGCTCCAAAACTTTATTAATGCAAAATATTCTGATTGAGCCTTCTACTGCCATGCCATGCAGAAATAAATGAATCAATTTGCCCTTTTTCTAAAAGTGTGCATGATGATCTTAAATTAATTCCACCAATTCAAATAATGACTGAATGATCGTTGTAATAAATGTCATTTAATGATTATAGTGCTGCAGATTTAATCGTGTAGTTCTGCCTAATGAGCTTCAGTTTCAGTGCTTACGGTGGTTAATCATGTTGAGCAGTTTTGAGACAGTCGAGCTGATCGCTGCACCAGAAAGGCGTTACATCCGTTTACACTATTAAAAATACAGGAGCCAAAAGGGTTGTTGGAGCAATGCTGTCAAAGAACCACCTCTAGTCCTCTAAAGAACCTCAGTGGATGAGGTTCTTTAAAGAACCATTTTTGTATATGAGATGTGAGGATTGCTTCCTTGACATTGTGTGGTTCCTTGAAACTCATGTCCTTCACGCTCACACATTTACAAAAATGGTTCTTTGAAGAGTCCCATCCAGTGAAAGGTTCTTCAGGGAACCAGATTGCTCCAAAGAACCCATGTTCTAGGAGAGATGTTCACTCTATACAGAGACCACTCTGTTACTTTTCTGTCTTTTTCTGGATGATACGAGCTAGCTGAGGGAATCGCTGAGGTTTTGAAGTAAACTTATGACCCTGAATTTTCTGTTTACTTTCTGTACTGGTCACGATCTACAGTAGAGTGGCATCAGCTGGTGGGTCCACACAAGAAAGTTTACTTTGAGATACACTTCAACTATACAGATTTATGAAGTGAGCTGTCAATGGAAACCATTCTCTGAATAATTTATAGCAGGTGATTCATAGGTTTCTCTCAGATCTATCCCAGTATATCTGTCAGTAACTGTCATAAAGATCAGCTGTTTGTTTCGTCTCCCTCACTGTTGAACCAACAGGAATGGACAGTTATTAAATTATTTGGTGTCTCATTTTTACTTTTATTGTTCAGTATATATCCGATTTTTTTAGTAGCTTTGGATACTTTTTGGCCACCAAACTGATTACCAATAGGGGAGCTCGCAGTATGTAAGTGATTGTAAAATGTAGTCCTTGGACTGCCTGAAGTCTCAGAAATGAGAATACATCTGGTGATGTATGAGTCAGACCGCAGACCATGTGCAGGTGACTGTGTTCCCCTGAATATTTGATTTTGGGTCAAGTTAACCTACTGGTCTAAGGAGTTCAGACTGCCAGTGTTTATCATACTTTGCGGACATTTCCTACACATGGCTGAACAAGTAAACTCATCATGTTTGTGGTTACTTTACTGACGACTGCGAATGGAAATTACATTTGTACCATGCCATTTTCATGATAGCACGCAGGACGTTTGTTTGTGGCTTTTTTTGGCGGGCATGCATTGATTTACAAACAGAATTTGGATGGAGTTACACGATGTTCTGTTCCTACTGTGTTACATCAGCAAGAGAATAATTAGGAAGGTCTGTAATATTACTTAATGAATTATACATTGACTCAATTCATTGCAGGAGATGACTATGAATAAGTATGTGGTGATTGCTAAATTGATCATTTAAGTTTGATAATAAGTCAATCTTTTGTAGCAATGGAAACTGAATCTAGTCTCAGGAGCTCTTCTTGCCAGTCTAAATTCTGTGTGAAAGAATGTGTTTCTTCTATGGGATCAGAAGGTATGGTATGGTAATTCATTTCCACTGTAGGCTGTCTATTGATCTCTGGGTTGATGAGCTCAAGTTTCACTTGCTGCCTTCATGTTTTGGGTCAAGGCGATTGCATGTATTCCTTAGCGAATCAGATCACAATATGAAGCACAATCCCGTATAGGATGCTCACAGACGACTATGGGTTAAAGGGTAACCCTTTATCTTGCCAAAGATCTTAGACATGAGGGAAGCATTAAAAAGATGATAATTAATGAATATGCAAACCCATCTGTTCACAGCACTGACTGAGCCTAGAGTGCAGTGCCCCATTGGACCAAATGAAAGAAGGCATTTTACTGAAGTTAAAGAACAAACTACATATAATTTGAAGTGAGGAGAAAATCAATAACAGGGAAGTCTTATAAAGCAGTTAGACTTTAGTGCCTCCTGTGGGACGGTAATCCTTTTAACTGCATCTTACATCAGTCTTAATCTCATAACACTCTTAATATACTTGAAAAAACTGACAAAAATAGAATCAAAGATGGTTAAGCCTCATGTGATTGCTGGTTTGATTGCACTATGATGAAATATGGGTATAGATGTAGATGATCAAATAAATCTGAATTCTTAGATTCTGATGCAACAATTAATAGATTTACAATAAGGAGAGAACAGAGTGTCAATACTGACAGACTTTAGCCACTTTCCATTATAGTTCTTCTTCCCAAAGAAGCAAATGCACATTTTCATTTTCAGATACTTATAGGGTAGCATTATGTGAGAATTGGTATTTTTTTGCTTTTGGGCTCCCCCTACAGTTGCAGAGTGTATTTCACTTTTACACTACTGTCGTAAATACAAATTGTGCTATGAGCCCCTGTCACATACACATGTTGACAAGCTGAAGTATACAGGATGCGACTCCCCTTCACGATGGCATAGGGATGCTACAGATTGTTATTTTAAGGTGAAATTGTTACATAATGTTTTAAACAAATGTTTTTGGCAAAAGATCAAATTTACACAATTTTCAATTTAATTTCAATATAGTTGACAAGCCAAGACCAAATTGGTGACCAAATTCATTTCTCTTTTTTAAATAACTGTTAATTTCCTAACTGAAGATATATGTTTCAAAATAGAAACAACAGAAATTGCTAACTTAATCTAGCAACCATATGCCTGCACGGCATGCATGTACGCAAAAGAGTCGGATGTTGAGAGCGGGTTGAGAGTTTTAACAGCAAAGTTTTAGGTGACTATTGACTTCTAGTGTTTGTTAGCAATGTTAGCCTCGTAGCCTCAGTGCTAAACTAAATAAGTGAATGAAATTCTATACTCAAAACCCCTTTTAAAGAGTGTGGTGGAAAGACGAACTTCACATAAGACTTCTTGTACAGTGATTAAAGACTGTTCTAATAGCAGTAGTAATGTGTATGTATGAGTTAAAGAGTAAGTAACACAAACTCCCTACTGACTATAAGCTGCCGTGACGTTTGCTGTGAAGTCGCTGAGGAGCCATTTCATAAAACCGCCTTTTTGTTAAACCCATAATAAGAATCACAGAGAGGATATTGATGATTTCAGAGGAAATCCAAGAAGCTGATACTGTGAATGTGAAATAAATGGTGGAGCTTATTATTGGCACTCTCTTTTACGGCTTGTGTAATGTATTATTGTACGTGACCTTGGTTAATAAGCATGTGTTTTCCCCCACACTGCCATTAGGTAAAGCGATACTCTCAATTTGCACATCTGACTCAAATCTTCCACTTTTGAGCTAATCCCACTTTAATAAACGGTACTTAAACGGCCTGCCACTGAGGTGCAGAGCACCAGGGGCTGCACTAAAATCCGTATCACTGCTTTAACCCTGGACTTGGTTTTCAGCTCACTTTGAATTTGATGGCTGCATGAAGACATCAAGACCCAGCAGTGAGCCTTGTGCTCTTTTACTGTCTTCAGAGAGATGGAGACTGTAAAATTCTTTTTTTGTCTCTCTCTCCTGCCGCTGCGAGATAGAAGCACATACAGTACAGAGTGAACAGTTTTTTTTCTTCTCCTATACTGCTGAGAGCTTAGGGTCTACTGATTCAAGACTGAAGCCTTCAAGGCTATGGCTTTTTTTCACAGATTCTTGACTCTGTCCAGATGATTTATGGAACACAGTGGCTCAGTGTTTTGTTCAAATAATATTGTTAGGCCTCTATTATACTGTACATTATGTTGTTCTTGTCTACTTGGTATCCAATTTTTCTTATCTCACATACAGTATATTGTAAGGCTGGACAATATATCGGTCTTTAATCATTACAAAATTGGCCTTCACAATACTGATATTTGCATATTGCAAACTTCTGCATTAAAACCATGCACTGAGTGTTCCCAGGTGCATCTTGACCAATCACAGTTCATTGGGTGGGAGGATGAATCAAGACATTCACACCATCCGACACATGTAAATTATTTCAAAGTAAAGATAATGCAGGCCAGTCTTTCAAGGCAATGATGTTATATATATATATATATATATATATATATATATATAGCAAGATCAGAGAAAATACTATATTATTGTGCAAAAGTCAGAGACCATCCTTCATTTGCTCAACTTCCAGTCAAAACGGCCATTTAATACAAGTTATTCATTTTTCAGGAGGCATTTAAAACAATCCACTTGCATAATGAGGCAAAAAAATCAAAAGAAAATTTGTGAAAAAACAAGAAACTGGAGTTTAAAAAATGATTAAAAGATGCAGAGAAAATGGGACTCCTAACAACCATGCAAGACCTAGCAGATCTAGAGAAACAGGAGAAAAAAAGCTCCACTAATGAATAACTCGTACCTAATGGATGTACTGGAAATTACATGAAGAGTGCTTTTTTTACAGTATATGCTTCAAACGCATGCAGACACCCCTTGTAATTAATTTTTAATCTGTGACTTTAAATTGCACCCGATAGATGACACAGGCATTCAGTTGCGCACAGCTTGTCTAATATATAAATAGAAAAGTACTGCTAATAGAATGGGATGCCCTGGAGCATCATGCCCACTTTGTTGGCTAGAGGGGTGTAAAGCCCCCCCAGCATTGGACTGTGGAGAAGTGACAGAGCACCACAAATACCAAATAACATTAGTGATCCTAATCATCCAACATCAGTACCTGATCTCACTGATGCTCTTGTGGCTGAATGCAATCAATTCATCATAGCAATGTTCCAACATCTAATGTGAAACCCTCCCAGAAGAGCAGAGGTTGTTGTGGCAGCAAATGAGAAACAAACTCCCTATTAATACCACTGATGTCAGAGGCAATGTTGGATGAGTGAGTGTCTACAAACTTGTTGCAATACATAGCGATATAATTGCTATATGGTGTTTTGTCACAATCGTGCATCCCCAGAATATTTAATTGAGAATTGGTTAAAGCAAGCTGCAACGTTTTAGTATTAGACAATATGTGTCTCCTATTTTACATGCATCTGGCAGCACTGTGTATTTTCTGTTAAGGAGTGAAGGTGTGAAATGCCACCATGACCAACTGCTGCATCCATCTGTACCACCAGTTCCGTGGAATGCATTGATGTATGAGCACTGAAGTTCCAACGCATGCATATGCAAAAGGGGGAGATGTGCGATAAGCAGCCAGCGACAAGTGTCGCAGTTACGGATGTGATCAGGAACATGATCACAGTCCAGCTGGGATGCTCTTGAGCAGGTTTTATTGAAGGATGAAACACGTAACTTGAATCAAATCCATTTCTTTCATGGTCTAACTTTCCTGGCCTAGCCTGATGGAAATAAACAGCTGCCTTTAAATAGGAAGTAAATGGTTCACATTAAAAGTTTCCACCATTTTCAGCAAAATTAGATGTTACTACTTGAGAGACCTTTGCTCTGAAAAACTGAAGAATTTCACAATGAAACAGTGAAATGGTGTTTTCAAAGGCAAACACCCTTAAACACACAGTGACAAAGCTATACCAGTTTCTGTTTGTGTGGCAGACAAACTGTCATAGAGTGTAAATTTGTGAATTGTATGCTTCTCAAAGCATGAGAAGTATTTGAAACATCTCCTCTGCTCTATACACATGCAAAACAGTCAGGGCTGGGTTTTCCCAAAAGCATCTTAACATGAATATAATTCTTAAATGGTAGAGCGACCCTCACACCAGGCACTCTCTCTACCAGTTATGATCTTAACACTAAGGTTATTTTGGGAAACTGATCAGAGACATAGTGCTGTAAGACAAAAGTTTTTCATTCATTCGTTTTGTCTTTCTCCCTTGTTTGTGGCTTTACTGTGGCTGTAGATGACATGCCTTATGTTGCACTGGGTGCCACTTAACTGAAGAGAGCAAAAATGACTGCTTGACCTTAGCTGCCTTCTTTTTCATTTCGTTTCTGCTAGCAGCAAATTAGTCTGTGAGTCTGTCTGGCCATCTGATTAAGGAGCTGACCTCTCTTACGTCACACATGCACTGTACACATCTCACTGTTGATGGATTGTACACACAGACTGCTGGAAATTATAAATTTTCAGTGCTATATATTTGGTTTTGAAGTCACCAGGAAAGGAGAACTTCCCAAGCTGTAGCTGTTTTTACATGAATATTCTGATAAGTGTATTTTTGGTGCATTTAATGTTTTTGAAAAAAGAGGGACTATGTCTGTAGTGATCTCTAGAAAAAATGTATTCTTTTTGTGCAGCTGGATAAAATGGCAGGCTTACAGCTTAGCATATTTGTGATATGGCCAAGAGAATCAATGTCCTTTTAAACTAGACTTCACACTTATATGTAGATTTATTGTAGATATATTACAGAATTTGTATGTGATGGCTCTGGTGTTTTATTAATATTATGAATTAAAAAAAAGAAAAGAACCAAGAGTTTGTTTTTACTCATAAACTGAAAATAAGTTGACATTCGCCAGTCCAGTACAGTCCATGTTGAAGGGCATAGATTCCTTTTGATTGAATGGGAAAGTATGTTAATAATTAAAGAATTAACTTATCTAATTCAGCATTTAAAGTTCTTTGATTGAGTGCAGACTGGATGTGGATAATGATGTGAATCTTGGATTTGGAGAGCCAAACAGGTGAAACAGCTGCCATTAAATGGGAAGTAAATTGTTCGCATTGAGTTTATGTAAAGTAAGATTTTCTCAGATTTGGTAAGTCTGTCCAAAAGCAGATAAGCCAAAGAACATATTGGACAGTTCTCACTTTGGGTGTAAGTTATTCAGCTAAAGTGAGAAATCCTGCTTCCAGGTGGATATTTAACAATGCAGGATTTTCTCCTTTAGTCAGATAACTTAAGCCCAAACTCAAACCTGTCCATTAGCAAATAAGCTAGGGACATTTGTATTGGACAGTTCTCATTTTGGGCTTACATTCTCCAGCTAGCTGAACAATCCTGCTTTGTGAAATACCTCCTATGAGGGACATTTTATAATGCAGTATTTTCTTTTGGAATGAGCTGGAGTGGCATTAGTGATTCTAATCATTCAACATCAGTACCTGACCTCACTAATGTTAGCCATATAACTTATAACTTAATCTTCACTTTGGATGTAAGTTATCTAGCTAATTGAAAAATGATCCAGCTAACTGAGAAATCCTACTTTGTGAAATAAATCCCATAGGGGATATTTAACAGTGCAGGATTTTCTCTTTTTGCCAGATAACTTAAACCCACACTCAGATGTGTCCAGTAGCAGGCAAACTATTGGCCATTTCTAACTTTGTTAGAACTGCTAAACTGAGAAATCTTGCTTTGTGAAATATTTGTCTAATCCAGACCCTTTCCAATAGGACAGCACAGACTGATCACACACCCCTTTACCATCACTGCATGCATACACTTTAAATTCTTTATGTATTTGATTCTGCTATGAGACCTCAGTCTTTCTGTACAGTATGCAGTGATGATGTTGGCACCAGTTCCTTCATCACTCCTTTGCTGCTTGGTGCCAATCCATGCACATGGATGTGTATGGGTGTATATACATATACATGATGTCCAATCGCATATACTGTTTTGTTGTCCTGTTGAGTATTTATTGTCTTATGTACTTATTGTTCTGCATATTTATTGCCTGGTGTATTTATTGTATATTCTGCACTCCTGTGTCTCTGCACTCTGTGCAGTCCTGTGTTGCGCAATGTGGCCTGAAGAACATTTCGTGCCAATGTATACGAGTTATATTGAGCAATGATAATAAAGAGCACTTGACTTGTGAAACATTTAACAATGCGGGATTTTGTCACTTAGCCAGACACAAGCACAGACTCGAGCCTGTCTGATAGCTGTAGAGGTCAGGAACATTCGGACGACCCTAACCTTAAGTCTGGCCTACTAAGTGATGAAATACAGCAGAGCGTTTACCTTAGCGCGGGTTCACTTGTTCCTCTACTTCTCTCCATCCTCGCCTCACTGCACTTTCAGCTGCGCCATCACCAGCGTCTCGGAGTTGAACTCGAACTGGTTGCTGGAGGACGCGGACTTCCCCCACGAGTACAAGCTCGGCGGGCGCTTCTTGAAGGACGACGTGTAGCGGTAGAAGCTCTTGTGGCGGTTTTTGAGGTACTCTCTGTAGTTCTTGGTCAGCAGCGTGTAGAGGAAAGGGTTGATGCAGCTGTTGCTGTACGTCAGACACGCCACGAGGTAGTTGATGCAGGTGTGCGTGTGGGAGGCCAGCCTGAGGGGCTGGTGGTACAGCGGCAGGAGCTGCCAGATCCAGAAGGGCAGGAAACACGCCCAGAACACCAGCACGATGGTGAAGATCATGATGAGAACCTTCTGCTTGGGCGAGCGCTTGTTGCCTTTGTTGGCGGCTGAGCTCCTCTGAGACTCCAGGTACGTCCTGGCCAGCCGGGTGTACAGGTAGCCAATGATGAGCCCGGGCGCCATGATGCTCGTGCAGAAGAGGACGGTCAGGTAGATCTTGTACGCCTCGGGCGCCCAGGTTGGCGCGCACATCCGCTTCAGCGCCCCATCCGCGGCCTTTTTGGTGGTCTGGTTGACCATGATGATCATGGGCAGGGTCAGGAGCAGGGACAGGAGCCACACGCCCCACGCCATGGCTTTCCGGTAGCTTTTGGAGCGCTTGACCGTGTCCAGAGGTTTGGTGACGGCCAGGTAGCGCTCCGTGCACATGACCGTGAGGGTGAAGATGCTCGCGTGCATGGTGAGGAGGTCCAGGCTGAGGAGGATGCGGCAGCCCACGTCCCCGAAGTACCAGTCCTTCAGGAAGTACGTGCACACCACGAAGGGGATGGTGGAGAGGTAGAGCAGGTCCGCCAGGGCCAGGTTCATGATGGAGATGTACATGGACGTGGCGAAGCGGATGGAGTGGCACATCACCGCCAGCGTGTACACGTTGCCCGACACGCCGACCACGTAAACGAGCGAGAGCAGCGTGCCGAAAGTCGACGTGATGACCAGCTCGTCCACGGAGCTCGCGCTGGACGGAGCGCCGCCGGACTTGCTCAGATTCATGGCGCTCCGGGCGAAGCGGCTGGCTGCAGGAGCTGGCCCCGTTACCGCCGTGACAGGGGAACTTTTTTCCTTTCCTTTTTTCAGCGACGCGCTGTGGCTCGAGCGCTCTTCGCGGGCTCAAGATACGCGCGCGAGCGTCACCACCGCTGCCTGCGGCTCGTGACGTCACGAGGACGGCTGGCGGCGGTCACCAGTAGCGAAAAGTTGATTTGCACCTGAACAGAATAAACAAAACAAAAACGTGTTGTGCAGATCTTCACTGGTGTTTACATCGCTGGTCATCGTGTGCGTCGCGGCTCGGTTGCGCTGGAGTGAATCCTGAGAACAACACAATGCAGCGTGGACAGGGACGGTGTGTGCGCATGTCGCGAGAAACTTTCAGCATTAAAAACAACGTGAAAATCTTTGCTTTTTTGTCGTTCTCACATTACGGTGAACAGAAGCTCGTCCGGCGGTGGCGCCTCTTTTACGCACGGACGCAGAGGTTATAAATAAACGCCACAGCGTGATATTCTATAAATAGACACACTTATCTGGACAGGTGCTACCTGTATGGTTCCCTTCAAACCCAAAGATCATAGAAAACTGACTTACTGCTGTTTTTTAGAGTCTTTGCTTTGTGTTTTTGCTCTTACTCGGTGCGCACGTCGTTTTCCGCTCTCCATGCGGTACTCAACTAATCACACACGAGTCAGTGAAAATCTTGATATCAGCTGTAATGTCTGTTCACATCATTCAATTCATTAATTAGTCAATATTCTAACAAATTGTAGGAATCAATAAGCTGAAACGATAGGAATTTCCAGTATTGTCCTCATTAAATATATATTTATTATGTATATTACATCTGTACTGTGTGTGTGTGTGTGTGTGTGTGTGTGTACGCCCCTGTACGTGCGTGCTCACGTGTGCGCATGTATTCACTCTGATGCCTGCGTGCCCGAGGGAAATTCAATAAAGCGGGCTGGGATTCATACTGTGTCATTGTAGTGCCGCCTGATAAGTACACAGTAATCCTGCACGCATCTTGGTATGAATGGATTTCTATCAGCAACTGGTGCTATTGACTGAACAGCATCCTCACGCGCTCTGTGATTGCTGATATTGTTAATCTATGGGATGTGTAGTCTCTTTGATTTCGCCCTTTTTCTGGTGCAAAAAAAGTGGAGAAATCAATGTCAATTTGTTTTTAGATATTGGCTCAAAGTAAGCAGGACAACACCGCACTGCACATACAAAACGCTGAGCTTGATATACTAAATTCAATCCTAGACAGAATTTGTTGTCCGAAGTAAAACTAATAAAACTTGAAAAAACCATATACTGTATGACAACATTATGACATGGATTATAGATTTTACTGCTGACAAAGAAGAATTGTGAATATCACACTCAAAAAGATGGTTGTTCAAGGGTTTTTTAGTAAAGAAAATGGTTCTATATAGAACCATGAACACTCAAAGAACCCTTTGATTAAAGGGTTATTTGCATCATGAAATGGTTCTTCAGATTGTTGGAGAATGTGCTGAAGATGGTGTATATAGAACGTTTTTGAAAAGGGTTCTATATAGCACCAAAAAGGGCTCTTATATTGTTACAATGTCAAGCTTGTAACAATAGCAGAAGTCTTTTTGGTGCTATATAGAACTATATGTGCTATATACTATACTATACTATACTATAACTATATGTATTTTCTTAAACTTTTATAATGAACAGACCAATAGAAATGGTCCAAAATTACTGTAAACAGTTTGGCATTGAAAGAGATGGCATTGACAGTGCAACAAGTCTCAGAGACAATGATGGTTTACAGTGGGCAGTAGGTAACCGGTGGTATGTGACAGCTATAAAACAAGAAGATCAGCAATATATATATATATATATACACACATACATACATATAACATGTCTCTGAGGTGCTTGTTTAGGGCGTTGTAACATTTGTTCATTTCTCTTTTATTTCTTTCATAAGTTATCATTTGTTTTTCTGTTTGTTTTGTCTTCTTGTTTGTTTGTACACAGCAATCTGCTCTCAGTTCTCAGTAAATTATACAAATGCTTACAGATGTGAGTCAGCTAATAATACTGCTGTACTGTGTAGTATAGCATGAGCATTTGATCCCTCCTCTTTTGATCAAATCAATAATAAGATTGAAGACACTGGGCTTTAGGACATTTGCTGAATACAGAACCTGATTAAGTCAACGTTGTTTATTTATTTTATTTATTTATTTATCTCATCAGAAAATTTATTTCTGATGAAACTACCAATCATCTGGTTTTAATTGTAGCCAGCCACATTTTAACATTATATATAGAGTTATAGTGTACAGCAATACAGTCTCACTTTCTGATTTGTTAAGGTTTAAAGCAGCGCTAGTTCACACTACATTCAGCTGTGGCTGTGCAAGGTGACTGCATTTATAAACATTTTGTGAATATATGACTCACATATTTAAGATACAATAACAGTTTATATTTAATGTATTTAAAGTATCTGTAGGACTATGTGGTATACTTTTGACTCTATGTTTGCATATGACACCCTTTGTTTACAGCTGTATATTACTGGTATTGGTATTCCAGTGACACAGCAAGCAAAGAACGCGAAATTAAAGGAGGCTTTGCAGAAACAAACGATAGTAATACTATAAGAAACTAAAATTTCTATAGTGCAGTATAATACCTCTGTAATAATCTATTAAATTTTTGCCCAATACATTTCCTATAGTACTGTCTTATAGCAATCTATAATACTTGTGTTGTATCCTGTAGATGTGACTGTAGTGTGTCGTGACATAGTCCACATTTACTATAAGATTCTTATAGGAATTCCTGTGGTGTTACTGTAGAGCAGTGGTCACCAGCCCTGGTCCAACGTGCACCTAACATGATGCTCCTCCCCTTTTACCTGATGCCAATGCATCTGATTCAGCCAATCAAGGACTTCAGAAGAAGCTATTTAGCTGGACCAGGTGTGGCCCTAGTGGTTGGAGCTAGGAAAGTAGATCTCCAGGACCAGGGTTTGTGACCACTGCTATAGGGCTTTTTCACAAAGTACATGGAATGAAGGGGGAGATTTTGATCTCAAGAACGAAAGCTTGAGAACAGTTGAATTACAAGGAGAAGGCAGTTCTGGCATGGGAGCTGATTTTTGATAATGCTTCTGATGATCCTTTATAGAGGTCTAACTCTAACTTCAGTTCACTGAATACTGAGAATCATCACTATTTTGTATGCTCTGTTAGTGATACTGTGTAACTTTTTTGGTGTTTTTTAGTGTTCAAAATAATTTGCAACTGTGGAATGAAAAAATGCTGTAAGGTGTGTCTCTGGAGCTGTCCAAGGTGCTGACTTGTGTTTTGCTCCTGGAAGGACAGCATGCTGTGCTTGAAAATGTAGATAAACAACCACTCTAGATCTGTCACCATCTTTATGTTAGCAGTTGAGTAATCTGCCGATGAGTTATCAGATTTCACAGAATTCACAACAATTAAAAAAATATTTATGCACTTTGTGGTAAAAATGCATGTAAGTGATTGCATCTCTCAGGTTCTGTGTCTTACTGTGAGATTAGTAGAGAATTTAAAATATGTATTATCATCATACAAATTGCAAAATAATCACTGCAATTGGTTTGGTTTTAGTTGATGGTTTTAATGGATGATTTTTGCTTAATTGAGTATGCAAGTATATTTGAGTTGTAACTGAACAGAACCAGCCAGACGCTCACAGTAAAAAACAAGAAATGAGGCTAACAACAAATGTAACAAATAATAACAAGCAACCAGATTTGAAATGGCAAAGACAAAAAGGCAAAGCCAAGAAGTCCAAAAACAAGGTCAGGAAACACGGTCAGTATATTAGTGAGCTTATATACTAAACTAAAACTAGTCATATGACACATCACAGGTGCAACAGGTTAGCATTCAGGTGAACTGAAATGTTGATTGGTGGATTGTGGATCCTGAGTCATGTGATCTCCCAGAAAGTTCTGGGAAATGGAGTCTTTACGATTGTCAGAGCCGGTAGGAGGTGTGACATGAGTAATCATGGCAGCACTAAACTACACTTTGTGTGTTTTACCAAATACTTAAAAAACATTAAAAAACAATTAATCAAGGTTTTAATCAACTCTTCTTTATTTGAGTAGTTTAATCGAGCAATCATGATAGCCTTTTTAATACCTGTAATTTTTTAGCATGTATTTTAACGTATTAACCCAAATTATTGTTGATTAATCTAGAAGGCAGACTAATCTAGACATTTAAATCTTTAGCCCTAATCCACACTTTTTATCTGTAGTTAATTTTTTGTATGATTTTATTTTTTTTTTTACCAGATACTTCAGAACGCATGTAAATTCTGCTTTATTTCCTATTATTTATTGTTTTACTTAGTTTCTTCACTAATATCATTTCATCTGTCAAGACACCGTCTCTGATGATCTGACCTGAGAATGGATCATTCGAAAGGTAACGGTGCTCAAAATACCTTTACGTGTGTCTTGTACATAATGACGTTTATGTGGGTATTATATGCCCCTTTGGCTCACAACATTGTTATCAATGTTGTTCTTTTTAATTGTTGTTTTTCATGGTGTCTGGCTTTAAATGAAAATCTATTCTGCCATTAGATCCAGAGGCACCAGGTGTCCTTGAATGTGAATGTGAATTGCTCTTTCTTTTTGTTTATTTAGGAGGAATCCAACTGAGACAGAGGTTTCATTCCATGGAGTTCTGTTTGCATCATATTAGCATAAAAACAAACATGCAACAGTAAAAGCCACATGTTTAACATTATGTAAAGTAGCAGAATCTTTTTAGGCCATTTTTAATGAGAAGGGGAAGTTATGTAGTATTTACGTAAGTGATTACTCTTGTTCACATTTTAGGTCTATGAAACTGAGAGTGGTGATTGGAAGTAGATTATTGCTTGAACATAGTTTTGTTGTGCTACACCTTACTGTTCAATCAAAGGGAGCAGACTACAGAGGC